GGGGAAAGAGGTTTCCCAAAACTCTAGAAGCACGTGAGTAACATTTGATTTTGGAAATTTGCACAACCTGAGAGTATATTTTTGCAGCAGCCCCCGGAGCTGGGGGGGGCACACCATCATTCTGGGCGCCGCCCAAAGAAACAAAGACGGAAAAGCCCCATCGCCCCCCAGTAATGGCACCCCAGGAGCAGGTCTTGCTTACTGGGAGATGCCCACACAGGACGAGGAGGAAGGAGCGATTTTGGTCACCAGGTATTCCTTTATTGGCAAAACCCAGCAGAATAAACTTGCACACCCCGTTTGGGCACCCACCCGCTGGAGCAGCCGAGAGAAGCCAAAGCCAAAAACCTCAGCACCAAGGAGGGGCCGGGACGCCCATTCCAGCCCCTCCACCATCCCTGCCTGCGCCCCGCCGGGGGAAAAAGCAGCAGGGACAAGAGTTTTCTTTAGATGTACTGAAAGCAGCACCCAGCCTTTCCATTACCTCCTCCCACCCCAATCCCATCCAATTTTAGGGCTCTGGGAACATATTTCCCAGTGTTTAAAAGGAAACATGTCCCTAAATGCCGGCCCAGGACTCGCCTGGATGGTTTTATTTCCACCACCGAGGCCCCGTTTCTGCAGGGGAGGTGCAGGAGTCCGCTTTTATTGAACGGGCCCCTCAGATGGGCCATGTGGACTGGGACGTGTCCTCGGGCTGGACTGGGGGAGACATCCCCACCGCTGCCCCGGGAAGGTGGAAGCGCCAGCCCCATGCTCACCACGCACGGGCTATTTAAGTAGCTCCGGAGGGAGCCATGGCAGCACAAGATGAGCTAGAGCAGCTCCTAAATCAGTCCTGCTTTATGCCACTCCAGTCCCCAGATCCCTCCAAACACCAGGAAACCCAGAAAGTCACATTAAATCATTTTTATCCCTTGTTCTTCCTCCTCGTCCTGAGCCGCGCTGACCTCAGCTCAGCCCCGCTGAGTCGCCAGGAGCCAAAGGGGAGCCGCAAAGCTGCTCCCCAAAAACATTTCACCACCCAGGACCGGCATGGGAATAGATGGGACGCATCCAGCCCGGCGAGGGGGTGGCGTGGACCCGAGCCCACGCGGCACAGACGGCTCCGGGAAGGCTGTGCAGGAGATGGAGTGCCCGGAGTGATTGAAAAGCAGGTGATGGCACAGGCATTTGGAAGTTTTATGAAGATCTTTTATCGAAATCACAGTAGTTAGGGACGTGCAGCCTATTAAAGGTACCCAGCACGCCGCTGGGGCCAGGACAGCATTAGTGCCGCCGTATATCCTCCAACATTGTGTTCCTTCTGGTTTTAGGAGGCCCCAGGGTCCTTCCAGCCCCGCTCTTGGATGAATATTCTGGAGCTTAATAGCACTGGCTACCAGGAAGGTTTTTTTGAGGGATTCATCACTCCTTTGCTCCCTTTGGCACAGGTCAGCGGGGGAACGGGGCTCACCGGGCTCCTCACCTTCCACTGGCGTTAAGGAGGTGTCTCGTCTTCCCATGCCCCAAAAATGCCACCACTCCAGGGGAACAAGTGCCATCAACACCGAGCAGGTTGCTCAATAGCGAGTGAAAAGTGAGTCAGCCCCCAAACAGCTCCCGTGGCATCTGTCCGAGATGGTATTTCCAACGCTATTCAGGTTTCCAACAAAGCCAGGAGGCAACAGGCAGCGCTGCAGGCAGGGACCGTAGATGCAGGTGCCATAGATGCAGGCGAGCGGGCAGCAGCCACCGCACAGATTTGTCACCCACCTTCTTCCCCTCCCCGAAACTGCGAGAGAAACCTCCCTGCCCAGATCCCAGCACCGCAATCGCCGTCGAAAGCTGGACCGGTTTGCCGTGCAGATGGGAGCGCTAGCAGGGCGTTCGGCGAGCGCATCCTGCATCC